CGTAACTTCGGATTGTTTGTTACGCTCGGTAAATTGCCATTATAAACGAGACAATGCATTATCGGTGTACATGCGGGCGGCATATGCGGCAGAAGTTCGCGATTTCATTTTGCGAACGTTCCGTTACTAGCGCCGATCCTCGCCACCGTCGTTCGCTCGTTCGCGCGAGTCTCTTTAAAGTTGCGGCTAAGTTTTCGATTTCGAGTTACCAAGCGCGGTATTCACGGGTTATTACGCGCATAATACCAGTGTCGCTGCCTGACTAAATAGTTCGTGGTTAACGATCCATCGTTCATTCAATACCATAAAAAAATAAATATTTAAAAAAATTATAAACGTTATATCGATTCTATGTTGAAAAAATTATTCATTATTTATTAGACTATTATTATCCAATGCGTTTCATTTTTTTAAACAGATTTTGTAGGGATATAGTCATATATAAAAATTCCTTATTTTTTTAATATTTTTTAATACTTTTTAATAGGAATGAGAACGAGCGTACTGCACGCAAAAGTTATTGACGAGCGTGATGCGAGGATATCGCGCATAATTCGTTCGTTTTTCAAATTAGCTTTCGACCGCGCGTTGATTATGCGTAAATAAATAAAATGATCGTATAGAATCGCTATTGAAAACAATGGGACGCTTTCCTCGCTCCGCGAGCGGCGATATACCGCCATGGCCGTGCGACGCGCGTATAAATTTCTGGCCGGACATTTTCGGGGTATATAATTGCAAAAGCCGGCCGTAATTATCAGCGTGGGATATTTTTTAGTCACGCCTTTGGCTTTCCGGACCGATCGAGCCGGAAATCGAATGAATCGCCTACACCACCGTCACCGCCATCACCGTCGTTCCCTCTCTTTCCGTCAACCACCCTCTCATCCTCCCTGGCGCATAACGATAGTCAATTCAATTTGAATCGCGGCCAAGCTCGACAGGACAGTTAATTACGCACGAATGACAGCTTCGCCTGGCGCGAATTTGCTGCGGAATTCGATCCATTCGAACGGATCGCCATAGATTAGGTTCTTCTTCCTCCTCTTCCTTTTTTCTTCCCGATCGTGCGTGTGCGATATCGGCAGATTCGGCCAATTAAAAAGCTGCCGGTTCGGATTTATGCGCGATGATTGCGAGAATCCTCATCTCGCTCATCTCCTCTTTCGCGGTTTGTTTCCATCAAGCGCGGCTCGAAGCTGACACTTTTAGCATCGCATCGCCAACGACTCTGGCACTAATAAAGGCCAAAACGGACACCGCAATCTCCGCTCCTAGCGGTCGTTTCTCCCTTTCACTCTTTTCTCGACTCGCTTCTTCTTTCTCTTCCCGCATCTGCCGTTCTGTCTCTCAATCCTCGGTCCTTTCGTTCATCTCTTGCTCGCATATTCAGCCGCTCTTACTCGGATCGTGAATGAAACGAAGACATGCCGCGCACGTTGATTCATAGTTTGACTGCGAGACGTGACAGAATCCATCTACCCTTGTTAACAGACGATTCGTTAGCTCGATCATTTATTTATGCCTCTTTTCGCGTCATTAACCGTCATTAAAGAGAACTGCCGCAAACAAAGAATAAGATTCGTATGCAAGGATTTCTTTCTTTGCTTTTTAACAATTGCGAAAGAATCATTCTGCAAAAGCATGGTCGATACGAGTAGATCGATAGTCAATTATCCGATGTGATTCACGATACAACGGTTTTACATGAAAATGTGGCAGGAACATCATTAGAATAATTTTGACGGATTGGACACTCGGTAACACTCTTCGATATTACGTTCATTACGTTCATACTTGCATTATCGCGACCGAAGTTTATTTGCCGACGTGCTCCCCGTTATCGAATAAGCGCGCGCGCATTTAATGTTATACGCGCACGCTAATAGAAACTAAATTGCGGGCATTGACGCGAGTCATAACAATGACCAACGAATGACCGCAAATCTTTTCGCCGTGCGTGATCGATCGATTGTTACACACCGAGACTATTCAGATGTGATTACATTTCGTTCAAATGGATGAAGTGGATTTGACAGAGATTATACGCGGCAGGTGCTCGAATATCGACGTTTCTATCACAATAACAAGAAGGGCTTGTTCGGATATCGGAGATTATTGCACCAGTCTTTGATAATCGTTTGAATTTGTAATCGGCCCGGGCTCGCTTGATATCTCTCAAGTTCATTCAAGGCGCACTGATCAATGCACTCGCGTCTCTGATTAAGCAACCTTAAGCGAAAAGAAACGGAATTAGCCTTTGGAAGACGATTATTGACACAGCGTTCAGAACAAAGATTAAAGACGAAGATTAATTCTTTTCAAGCCTCTTGTACTGCTTGCCAAGTTCATTTTCAATTCTTTTTCTTTCTTTCTCTTTTTCTGAGGAAGAAAATCACAGGAGTTAGCTTTAGACGGCCTGTTATTCTTTCCACTGCGCGTCAAATTTATCAATCGCATGATTCACAAGCCCAAATAATCCCAAAATAAATTAGATTTGCAATGTGAACTATGTGCATTACATTTGGAGTGCGCGAACGGTACAAGATACGAGTATTGTTATGATAATTCAGCAAGAACGAAATGATAGAAGATAATGAGAATAAAGTTACTGAACTCTCGCACAGGGGAAGTCATTATCTGCGATTTTCATAAGCGATTGGACCGCTCGCGCATTTCCGTTGCTATTATCGCTGTCAAGATATACGATGTGGCGGTTAGTAATGAAGACGGATCGTTTTTCGCGAATCAAACGGAATGCGCGTCTCCCTTTTCTTTCTCAGCTCGGCAGCCGTCCACAAAACTCGAGAGGAATTAGATAATCGGCTTTAATCAGGCTTTAATCGCTTTAATTTGCAATATTGCGGCGTTGAAGGAATTTTTATGTAAGTATCTTTACATGATACAATTAAATGAGCATCCTTGCGTTTTCGAAATAAAATATACGAGAATAGATATTATATCATACGTGATTATGCAAAAAAAAATGTGATAGTATTCTTTGAAGAAAAGAAACGATTAAAAACTTTTTCTGGTTATATTTTTATTTCTGTTTGGCAAAGAATCATAATTCTTATATTACATTACGAACTCGATATATATTTTATTCGCTGGTTTCGTTAGTTTTAACCCATGCGAATGGTGCGCGATTAGCATGATTATAGAGACGCATTTATAAGAGTGAGAGAGAAAGATCGTTTCGCCGAGAAAAATGAAATTCTCCACGAGGTAAAGGGCGCACTTCGAAGACGGGGGTCCTGTTTTTATTGCTGGAAAGTATGGTAATCCGGCAAAGCGCGAAAGTTCTGCTAACGATTATTCAAGAGCGGCTCGTTCGCGCCGCACCGTGGAAATTGAATCGAGGAATGAAATTCTTTCGTCTAATTAAAGCACAATATCTTTGCCATCGCGAGGGGGGGGGAGGGGGGGTTTGTAGTTTAAAGCTTAGTCTTTTACCCGCGCCTTAGATCAAACGTTCCACAGAAATTAATTGCTTCCCGAGAATAACGATCTAAGGGTATTTCGCGCATCGCTCGAGGATGTTCTGGTTAAATACGTCAAACGTGTCCCTTTGTGCCATCTGATAATTGTAATTTCAGCACGGATCGAGAGACGCCATCAAGGCAATTAACCCTAATCTCGTCTACGATGCGTCATGTTACTTCATTTTTATCGTAATTATACGATATTCATAAGCAGAGTCATGAAATTGATAAAATATTTTCTATCGCGGATATTGTATAGATAAAGATATTCTTTTCACGATATTAGAATTTTATAAATTTTGTAACAAATAAATATATAATTGTACAAGTGCGATAAATGCAATATTGATATGCATCGTCTTTTGATATGCATCAAAAAATAATCTCTTTTTAATTTTAATATATAAATATCGCGTGTATGATAATTTTATAAATATTTAAGATCTCATCATTACATTTGCACAAAGAATTATTTTAAATACAATATTATATTGCAAAAGCAAATAATAAGCACAAAATTGCAGTTAATGATGGCGTATCTAATGAACGCGAACCAGGTTTAATTACTCCCCCGGGACAATATTGTAGACGATACTTGAGGGTTTCTACGTGCTTCCTATTCCTTTGAGCCTCTTGATCAACGTGATCATAGCGACGCGCTGAACTGTTTGCGTAGAGAGGCCGATCGCGATACTATGGCAGGAGAGCCGAGTGTGGCTTGAGCGATCTCGTACGGACCCGCATAAATTAGAAGCGTTAATACGTGTTAGAGCAATCTCATCTTGGGTATTGCCCGAGGGATAGCATCGCATATCCATCGATCTATCCACTATCGCGTGTCCAACTCCGCTACCTTAACAAGAGAGTCCCTGCTCCATAAACTGTAAATTATTGATGACAAGTGGAATGATTGATATAAAATAGTATATAAAAATATATATTGGATTAATAACTGAAAATAAATCTTGCAATCCTGTGAATTTTATTTTAATTATATTTGTGACGCGATAAATGGATAGGAAGAGCGAATTTGATTTTGTGAATTGAATATAATTCTATAATGATATTAGCCTTCATTCGCATCACTTTGCCGTATATCTTATTTGCTTTGTGCACAATGACGTAATGGGAACGTGGTTATTAATTAAAAATATTTTTCATGGTCTTATTCGTGCATATATTGTAGGAACGCTTTATAACAAATTAATTCGAAATTAAAATTGCCGTTGCATGTTTGTCAATTTGCTTTAGGAAAATACGGGAGACAGTAATATATCCTTGGGAAGGAAAACATTCCTCGTACCTCTTCCTTGTCTTTTTTAATTTGAAAATTAAAAACGCGGTTAATGGATTTCGCGCGCTGCACAATTTTAATCGTCGCGGCGCGCTACGACGATGCCGTTGGCGCGGGCGCTGATTGGTCACGCCGCGCGCGCCGGTGGCGCCGATTGGCCGGCGCGCAAAAGTGCGTTCGATAGCGCGACCTCGCGCTACCCCCAGTACCCGGCAGAACCTCGTACGAGAAAGTACTTCGTCGGTCGCGTCCGTACTTTCGGAGCTCCCTCGTACGCGGACCGCGTGCGCACAGACTTCACCGTCCTCTCTTTTTCTCTCCTTTTACCTTTCCGTTTACCCACATACCGTTCCCTGCATTTCCCAAACATTTTCGACGTGAAAAATACGAAAAATTACGCGTCCTCATCTGCGCGTTATTCTCGGTCGCTCCGATTGGCCTCGTCGCGAGCGCGGGAGAAGACCGCTCGCCATTTAAGCGAATTGTTCCCTCGCGGCTGTCACGCGCGCGTCCCGCATTCCTTCCTTCCTTCCTCGCGTTTTATCGGCGTAAAGCGTTTTACATGTTGCGGTTGCGTTTTGTGCGAACGAGCTCTTTGTGTTCCGTGAATTCTCGTTTTATTCAGTGACCTTTTGTTGATTTTTACGGATTTTTCGACGGCCTGTCCACAAAAATCCACGAGTGGACACTGCGCAGACAACTTCATTGGTGAGTCTTATATATTTAGCTTTAGCTCCTTTTTTTTATACGATTATTTGTGATTCTTTTTCTATAAATTTACGAGTGTCTACGATCATGAAATTGAGGATTGAGGATTGATGAAATAAAGGACTTATGTTAATATTTTTGACGCGTTAAATGTCCGGTGCTTTGTATCGTGTTTTGATTTACCGTGTATAAAATAGTTTGCCGATGTACAGATTTTGGATTGCAAGGCGATTATATGGAGCTCCAGGTGGTATCGTTCGTTTAAGGGCGCGCGATTAGCAAAATGGAGCAGTATACCGCATGTGAACGCAATTATATCCGACACGTTAATTGTCGCGTTAATTATATCTGGTGCGTGAATTATATTTTCATCCTCTCTCTTTTCGTTTATTATTTTTTTTTTTAGTAGTTAATTTTTTTTATTATCGTTGGCAAATTAATTTCTACATGTGTACGTCGATCAATATTCGAACGAAATTATTTTATATCATGTATATATTATGACTAAATTTCTTGTCATTTTTATTGTATATTCCGTGATTAATTTATAGACTTTTTGTATGTTTATATTATAATTTTAGCATAAAAAAGTATGACAGATATGTGATTGCGAAGGAAAAAAACACATCAGAGCAAATCTTAATATAAATTGCGAGTATCGTTACTGAGTATTGAGAGATACGACGAATTAAATAAAATGCCTGCTTTTAAACAAGACGTCTATAAACTTCTCATATTATCTTTGAAAATAGATACACATACAAAGTGCCGAGTATTTAATCCTTTATTTCCAGATTTGTCTTTAAAAATATTTGCCTTTAAAACTATGTTCTTTATGCAAGATATGTGTGGAAATTATTGGCGTAATTATATCAACATAACATTGACGCCCGTGTAAACACCCAAGTGACGCTTGTGATCGCGTTAGGTCATCGTATCTGAGGTCATCGTCCGAGATCAAAAATATCGCGTCGTGAGCTTCAATATCGAAGCGTTTGCTCGCGTGACGAAAGCATATGGAAAAAGTACGTCGCGATAGATCGCAAAGATACGCGGGATAAAAAGAGATTGCCGAGACTGTCAAGGGTCGCATAGCCGACGATTGATAGTTGTACCTCAGTGTTATCACCATCGTAAATTCCCGGCAGCGTTCGGTTTACGCGTCCGTCCGCGATATTTTTCGCCGTCGTATCGTCAAAATAGAAAAATGTTTGCGTCACGGGCAGAAAGGAGCGTGATCAATATCAGGGGGTTTCTAATTCCAATAACTCTCGCGAGATGCGTATGTAACAAGGATGCTGTTATCGCGACGTGTGTAATATTTTCTCCTCGAATGAAAATTGCGTCCCGGAACTATCAATTTGTTAATAAAACATTGTACGCCGCTATTTCTGCCACGGTGAACCTTAACTGCAGCAGTTTTATTACGGAATACAGACGAATTTGAAAGGGCTTAATTCCTCTTATAAATACATTGTACGAGTTAATCGATATTCCTTTGCCAATGGGACTTCTTCTCGTTCGCCATGAAATTTATCCATTTTTAGACTTCATCCGGTCTATCCACCTTTTAGACCTTGTTCTGTTTAATGTTTAATGTTGCGACACTGCGCGTATATACAGTATAACGAATGGGAGCACGTTAATGTGACACGCGAATGCGTAATTCGTTTTGCAATAAGAGTTGGAAGTAACGAGACCACGACGACGCGTCGCCATTTCACCCCGTGATGACTCGACATCACGAATCGTGAGTTTTGCACGCTTTCTTTCTCGACGGTTCGACGAACTCTATTTTCGCGCAATTGCTAGCTCAATTTGGAGAGACAAATAATATTCTTTATCTTTTATCTAGAACACATTATTACAGAGAAAGAAGAATAATTAAAGAAATTATATGAAAATTTATCTGATACATAAATGCAAAGAAAAGATTATACGATATAAATACAATCTCGTTTCTTTTGATCGCGAACGCAAAATGGTTAAGGCAAACTTGTGTGCATCGAAGGGACGAAGTTCTTGCCCCTGTATGTGTATATATTTTCGCACACAGCCTTCTTTCTATGTAAATATTTACGTTTATATAGGGGCTTTATACGATATGTAACCTATGTATAAGGCCAATAGACGCTCGATCCGTAGGCCATGCAGGAAATAGACTTTGGTAAAAAGTACAGATTTTCCAGAGCATCCGGGAAATCAGATTGCAAGGAAGATTACAAATATCGGGAGAAACTCTACGATAAATCCTTTTATATCTCAAAATGTGGAACTCGCATATGGCTATCCGGTCCAATTATTGCTCGTATTATATCCCTGCGTAAAAGCAACGAGGAAAATGTCTAGTTTTGAATTTTAAACATACGCTACTGAATTCTGTCATACATTCCAACGCATGACTCGTCTTTCCGTCGAATTAGTAATGATATTTATTGCAACTTCTCAACTAATTGTATGCTAAAATAACGAGTTTAAATGGTGTAGTCTCGGGATTTCTTGTAATATTCACGCGATTCATTGTTAAAATAATTCGTATAATTCTAGCTTGTTAAACTTTTCGGTCAAGGGGTTATCGCATTGCAGGTATCGTCCTTTTACCTTTTAGTGTGTGTTGATCCCATTAAAGAATGAAACAACGCGCGGCATAACGCGCGAAACACGCAGTGCAACGAGTCGGACATTTTTTTGCCGCATGTCAGAGCAAGGAGGGATTCAAACGCGAGAGGGCGGAAATCTTTCCTGCCCATGCGACCGTATATCATTTCGGTTCTGCCACGTATATAAATCCAGTTATATAACGGCTCGTTTGCGTCCGTGTAAAGTGTAAAGGATAGGTCGTATAAAAAATATTTTTTCGGTTTTTCCGACATGAAAAAAGGCAGTCTGACGGGCGTTGGATGAGAACGCTGGGGATGCGAGAAAAGAGTAGCCGAATGACTATTTTTAAACCTGAAAGGTACGTGTAGTTTAAAAGCTGCTTTGTTAATTATATTTTTGCGAATAAAAATTGTGGCAAATAAAATATAATACATTTATAACTGTTAATTTTACACATTCTAAGGGGATTATAATATATATAATAATTTGTCTCTTTACTTGCGCTAGATGATTCCATATCTCTTATCGTGCATTCTCATATTTTTTCTTTCTTTTTTTTATGCTAGCAAATTCCTTCTCCCTCACCTTTGGTCTATTTTATGGCGCTAGATGTATTATCTTGTGATACGAACTCGTTTTGGGGAAGTTAGTTCTGCAGTATCAGATACACTCGAGAAGACTATCGCGCAATATCGTAGGATTCGGTGGTATAATTGAACGGAGATACTGCAAATTGGGTTTCGAAAATTTATCAATGCAAGTGAGATAAATTGCTGCTATTTAAACAATTTATTTACGATGCGGTTATATTATAATGAATTAATGAATATTATTTGTTCGCAAATAGATTTGTTATTTATAATATTTTAGATTGCATTGCCTAGTGATACATTCGTGCAACTTATATAATATATAATTCTTGGGTAAAATGTATTTGCTCTTTAAAAATATCGCACAAAAAAGATTTAATTCTTTTAAAACCCAAGCACACATTAAATATTAAATATGTTTACTTAATATATCACTTTAAACACTTGAATATTTTAAAATGAGGCTTTCAGACGAGACGCGCGTTTTTTGATAAAATATATCGCTGCTATGCAAGAGGAAACGGAGATTACATCCTATCTTATGCGAGTACTTGGCGTGACGTCTCTGCGTGCGTTTCAGAATTGTAATCGCGTTCACAAATTCTGCAATGGCTCTTTTGTATTCGCGGATTAAAGAGATAAAAAAGTCTCTGTGTCTCTCTTACAGAAAAGTATGAAACTATATAAATAATTATATCAGGAGCGAAAAAACTTTTGAAATACAAAAATCTGAATTATAAAAATCAGTATCAAATAAAAAAAAATAAAGCAAGTTTCTCTTTTTTTAAATCGATCGGATATTTGTTTAAAGATATTAGGTACAAACATTTCTCAGTTGATGGTACGCAATTATTTTGCAATTATCAACACAATTTGCATCGTTGACTTCATCCAATCTTTCGATTCCAAATATTTCGATTTTGCTGATAATTAGTCGACACTCTGTGTCCAATAGTTTGTGGCTCGTTAGAACATACAGGAAAGCAATGTCGAAACCCGACGAAGCATCCTCGGTCAAGAGAGATGATAGAGCATGATAAAAGAGAAAGAGAGAAGGGCGAAACTCGAGAGGTGCATTCGAGTATCTGTGAGAAGTGGCTGCGAGCAGGACTCGAAGAACCTACGCGAAATCTAATTCGAGTACGTACGTTCCGGTAGCGATGACAGGACCAGGGGCCTTATGCATATTCAATGTATCTGCGGCCGGAGTGCAGCTCCGGGTAACTCATTGTACTCGACTACTCGCGGCATTTGCTTCAACTCCTACTTGACGATGACACGGAGGACGGACGAAAATTGGCGGAGGGTGCATATTCGTTGGAAAGCCGAGCGCGACAGGTGAGGAAGGCACCTCTCGCCTCTTAGGCATTTTCCCACCCTACTTCACGTGCACCTGAGCTCGACTTAATGCCTCGTACCGGGGATGCACGATAAGAGCGTCCTTGACGCATATTTCCGGGAACGGCTTCCGGTTTCGAGAATATGCCCGACGGCAATGTCACGCTACAGTGATATCGTGCGGTAACCTGATGTTTGCGTAGGGATATGTGAGAAACGATGCGTTTACTCTCATTTCATCAAATTATTTTAAATGCGACAAATAAATATTACTTAACACAGAGTGATCTTAATTGACGTAATTGTTGTGGCAAGACTTGAATCTTATGCAGAAATTAATTTACTATTACGTGAGAAATTTTATACAAACATAGCCCTCTCATAAAGCTTGTGTTCTCATAAAGAAAATTAAAGTTGTATATTAGCCGTGGCTAATAAGCTTCTTGTCGTGACAAGAGAAGAGACTGTAAA